TTAAAATTAAACTGCATCCATATACACAAGCCAGATTGAGTTTAAAGTGTTATATTGTAAGAGATAGGTAGCAGAAATACATTATGACACCCGGCCGAAAGAAATTCCAGATATAAATCCGGAAAGATAATGTAAATTAATCACAAAACAAATTCCTTATTATTGTCATTGTCACAGCAGCCACAAAGATCAACGATTCTTTATAAATTGGAATCCCATGAGCAAACGTTTGGCTGAGAATTTGGACGAAATGTACCAATCTAATAAACAAACAAATACACTAAATCAGCATCAAAACACAACGACAAACCGTTCATGACTATTATTATTAATAGTAAAAGTTATACTAGTATTAGAACGGTTACAGCTCTATATGGTTCTTCAATAATTGCATTTCCATAACAAAAGCTAATGAGAAAAAAAAATAGAAATGCAATAAAAATATTCAGAAAAATAGCATAACATATCATAAAATGAAAATATTACAGCGATCTACCACACTTAAATCACGATAATTCTCATAAATAGAAGTATCTGAAAAGATGAAAATATCGAAACAATAACCAAACAATGAAAAGACAAGTTCCTTACGCCACGTTTTACTCCAAAGTAACCAATAGCATAAAGTTACGCTTTTGCTTTCATACATAATATTTCTGCCCAAATACCAAAAGTATATTGAAAGATAATCAAGTTGATGATGCTTTTAAAATGACATGTTTTCAAATCTTGAAATGCTTTATGGAAATTGTTGGACTATTAGGCAAAAGCATGATATCACTAAATTTGATTAGGTAAACAAAGACCACGCATCCTCTTTAATTTCTCTTTTTAATTGGGGATGGATAAAATAGATACATGAACGTAATATTTTTATTTGAGAACGGCCATTTTACTATTATATCGGTAGTCCAGCTTTGCCACAATGACCAGACTGCTGAATTTATTCAGAGAAGACCTTGCAAAACTAATAAAGTTGCAAAGGAAATTATTAAATAAAAATGGAAAAAATTATGTTAAATACAAAAAAAGCAACCCAAAATAATACTCGTATAGGAATTGCAATTCCTTTGGGACGCAAATTCTGAAAATATACAAAACGACCAACGCTATAAAGTATACAAAGGCTCAACGGGGTGACAAATTGGATCACATTCAAAGCACGTTGTACCATTATTGTCAGTTGTAGAAATAGTAATAATCGTAGTAGAAGTATTATATAACTGTCACAGTGATCTTTATTCTTAAAATAATTGCAAACAAAGCTTTTTCTCTTTCTATGTGAGGCTGCCAACATTCCGGTGAAATGAAGCTTGGTTCTAGATGATTAAATTGTTGTTTTTAATAATCATGCTATATTTGTTTTCATACATCAGTCTTTCCATTTATATTATCGTTTTGTTACAACTACCTTTCCTCTTTTCATCGTCACAGTTCCTATAACAATATATGCATATACAGTCGCGTTCCTATAACAGTCGCCGTTCCAATAACAATATTTTTCATATACAGTCGCGTTCCTATAACATCGCCGTTCCAATAACAATATTTGTATGTACAGTTGCGTTCCTATAACAGTCGCCGTTCCAATAACAATATTTAATATATACAGTAGCGTACATATCTAAAAGACATAACAATATTTGTATATACAGTAGCCTACATACCTAAAAGACATTATCTTTACTAGATAATCAAACTTTAACACATTTATTTATTCTAAGAAACAAAGAGAAAATCCATTACGGTATATCCACGAACGAAAATCAAGAAAGAAATTGTAAGTGTAAAATAGACACAAAATGAATTAATTATTATACCATCCATGAGTCTTAATAAATTCGTAATAAATTCGAATTTGAGAAGAAAAGGTTTGCTGAGAAATTGAAGAAAAAGCTACATTACAATAACCAAACAAGTCTCAGTATATTACTACTAGCAACACAAGGACTAACCTAAATTGTAAGGAGACAATTCATTATCATTTAAATTAACGAATTAAAAATGTTCCACGAACTGAAAACATTGCATTACAAACAAATTAAGTATTAGTAGTTGTCATAGTAGACTTAATAGTAGAAATAAAACTTTGACAACACTCTATGATTCTTATAAATATTGTAGGCAAGTAACATATTTCTTTTGTCGTTGTGAGCACACACGTAGAGTAATGAGATCTTGATAGAATTACGATTGTCTATTTGCTAAATCTGTCTATATTTCTTTTCGCACACCTGCCGGTATATATATATATATATATATATATATATATATATATATATATATATATATATATATATATATATATATATATATATATATATATATATTTTTTATCTTTAACTATATTTCCCTATTTGTGTTCTCCTTTTCTATAACAATATCAGTATATATTATGACCTACATACCTACAAACACCTGACGTTTACTAAATAATCTAGGTGTGCCATATTTACTCTAAGAAGCACATATAAAATCAAGAGTTATGAAACCGGCCAGAAGGTTAATTAAATAAAATAATTCCACACTAGTAAAAGTAACAAAGACTCATAACAAATTCATTATTTTTGTTATAGGGTTTAACGCCATTTTTTAAAGCACAAGATAGGCTATACATGGCGGCCAGTATTACTGGTGGAGGAATCCTGGAAAACTCCGGGAAGAACCACCGACCCACGAAAAGTAACCGGCAGGCTTTCTCACTAACCCACGTTAACCGAGTCTAGACTCGAACTCACGCAGATAGAGGTGAGATGGCTGTTGTTATTATGAGAACCTCCCTAAAGGTTTTAGATTCCTGAAACATTGGTATCCCATTAGCACATATTTGCAGTGATATTGGATACATAACCCCAAAACAATAACTCAATTCCCTACAGTCCACAACATCAACACTTTATTGAAACTAAACCGTAAAAAAATACATTCTATATCATTATAATTATTCTTAATACTAGTTGTAACAATATTATAGTTCTGATAGCGATCTGTTTCCTATGTAATCGCAATCCCGTTACAATGCTTTATGATAAGATGACAGAAAAGCAATACAAATACTGAAAAAGAAATATAAATTAAAGAGAGAGTGATAAGGTGATGGGTTCAAAACGTTAAACCAACCCCTTCTCTACGGTTCGTTGCTAGGGAATGACCTTCCGCTATGTAATTTACCCAGAGTGGATTGATAGAAAGAATAACACAGATCTCTAAGCAAGTATGTTGAAGAAATAAAACAATGAGTCCTTTTGCAATGAACAAATATATTATTTAATCAATTTAAAAGTATAATTTCAAATGGAAAAAATCAATTTCTTTACTACAAAGAAAGAAAATGTACGAACATGTACCCAATAAAAGCAAATACAAATTTCACTTTCCTATTAATTGTCAGTGACAGAATCAATACAGTTTCATCATAGCCTACAAGTTGTGACCTTGAGTTCAACGGAGAATGACATCGTCACCTATCTTTTTCCGGACATCGCATTTTCAGTTCATTCCTGCACTTCCAGCCTTTATTCAATCTTCCTTGACTTCGACCATTGCCAGTCGACACTTGAAACTATTTGACGATAGTATCTAGGGCTGGAATTCGGCTGTGGAAATCTGATGACTTTTTTAGTAGAATTTGGCAGAAGAAATTTGCTCAGGAAAGCTGTTTCCTTAAATAAATAAGTATCCCAGCTCAGAGGTACACTGATTCTGTCTTAATGACTCGCGGTCTCACTGGTTCTGTTTGCAAATAGAGAAGTCCATTACATGTAACTGACCTTAATTCAGGGTCACGCTTAGCGGGAAACTATTAGCTTCCGCTACAACTAACACGTATATGCCCGTATCTAAGATCCCACGACTTCTTTACATTAAACTAATAGAGTCTGGTTTTAAATTATAAATGACTTAGCAATAACGCAGATGACACAAAGTTGGCGTCTAAACAAATAATTAAGCCTTTCCGAATCGTGGAAGAGCGTAGTGAATGAAATGCCTGATTAAAGATGAGAAAAGAAAGAAAAGCAAGAGCACCAAAGCCATATCAGATGTTAATTTTCCCCCATCCCTCTTTATAAACCGCTCTCATGGAGGACATTTGGACAAAAGTGCTTCCTGTAGAGCCAAATACAAGCCAAGATAGGGATAGGGGCCATTAAGAGAGTTTGGCCTATAAACTGTAATTTACAGAGTTATGTGTGTTTGTTAGCATTATTACCGTTTCTCTGCCCCATACTCTTGATATTACCTATATAAAGTTTTGTTTAGTTTATGGAGGTATTGAATTTTATTTTTATGGATTGTTGGGTGGTAGGGTTGTGCGTGTCGAGTTTTGTTGATATAAAACTAATTAATTTTTGCCATACGTTCACGCTAACTTCCACAACGAACAACACCAACACTAACAATATCGTGCCCTTAGAGGAGTAATTGATAGTTGATATCTGCGGATGTTGATTAATGCTGGACAATATATCCGTGCATAGGACAGTCAGGAGATATTAGTGATTGTCACGTTAGCTTTCCGTTTTGACTCATACCGTCCCATAATATTATATTTATGGACATTGTACATACCAATTTCTATTGCACAGGTAAACCATATTAAACGTATGGACTGATCTTAATTTTAATTTATACATATATGATAATAATTCTAAATGGTGGTCTAATACAAAGATTTATAGTAGCACTACATACCGTTCGTTCCTAATTTATCCTCCAATACTACTGGTTACTTAGAGATCAAAACCGCCCAGTTGGGAATATTTATGTAATAAATCTTCTATTATGCATTGATACATATGATTTGAAGCTCTTCAGACAAAGATGACCGGTGGACTGCAGCACTGCGTGTAGCCTATGATGACGCAGTTAATGGCGGAGAAAGCCCAGAACACCATAACATAACATAGACCCCACACTAGTTGGATCAGGAACTCTTAGTGAAATTTTAGACTCAAATTAATTCATGTAAACACATAATGATTTTCTGGGACGGTACTATCGCTCCAGTAGCTTAGTGGTTAGAGCGTCCACCTCAGATGCGGGAGGTCGTGGGTTCGATCCCGCTTGGGGGTCATACCAAAAACTTACAAAAATGGTACTAACAGCTTCCTCGCTTGAGCATTAAGAGGTTATTGTTAGGACTGGTCGGCCTGGTGTCTGGCTAATGTGACTGGGTGGGGGACATCATGCTAAATGTCTGCGGCATGATGCCCCAGTGTTAGACATCACTTTAAACTGATGCACTGCAGACAACGTAGCCAAGCAAAAAATCATAATTACATCACTTCATATCTGGGAAGGTGCGTAGGTTATTCCCCGGTTACATGTGAAAATGTGCACCATTTTCATATCCTTCATTTCGTGAAATATATCCTCATCTTCCATGTGAATAATTGTGGATGAGGATACGTTTTTATATTGATCAGTCGTCACATAGATACTTTTATAGAATTGTATGATAGGTGACAGATATGGATACATTATAAATTATGACATATTCATTATGATGAAGATAAAATTAGACACATCAGTTCTTAATTTACATCATTTGGGCATCCAGAATGAAGAAAAATACAAATTGATAGGTAGATAGGTTGTTGCATACATAATTATTCCAGCATTTCGTTTCAATGATTTAATAATCAAATAAAGACAGTTTCGAAAAATCTAAAATTTGCTTTGACTGGAAATTTATTTATAAGAGGAAATGCACTAACACTGAAGTACGCATGGGCACACACTAACATACATCACATGGAGTTGCTGATAGTCTTGTCTTCTATAGGAGCGAATACTAGAGGATAAATATAATTGATAACCAATTTTAGATGGACAGTCTGACTATTAATTAATCATTGCAAAAACAAGATTAATGACACGCTGCAAGTTAAGCTCAACAAGTCAAATCCAATGAAGATATCAATAATTTTCAGTTATAATTACTTTAGATGGACAGTCCATTTATTAATTAGTGGATTAGAAAGATGAGTACTGCGCTTCAAGTGATAATAAACAAGTAAAGTCCAATAATGATGTCAAATAATTTTCAACTCTTGAATCAAGTAGTAGAGGAATATATTGCTAGGGTAGAATAGGAAAGGGAAATGAAACGTGAAGAAATAGACGTTAACTTGAAAGATCGAAATAAGAAATGACATAATCAGTCGAAACATAGATTTGAAACAAAACGAAAAAAGGAAAAGCTATCAAATCCACTCTGGCAGTTCTCCATAGCTGAACTAACAGAGTTGAATAATGAAACACCATCAGAAGAAAAGTTTAAGGGAGACAAACCCTTAATGTGCTTGCACAACGTGGTCGTAAAGAAACGAAGTGGTTACGTTACAATCAAACTAATAAAATAAAATGTTTAAGAGTGTATCTAATCCCATATTTGAAATGCACGCTACAGTCCTCAAAGATTAGTCTGTTCGCAATTATCAGTATTATTCTTATGATAAATGTGGAGGAAATATGCCACAAGTTAAGGATACGAAAATATATTTCTTGTTTGCTTATGCTTTCACTGAGATCGAAAGGACAGTTACTGTTCAGAAATTAATATACATGGAATTGAGATTCGTACGGTATTGAGATTCGTATAAATAAAGTGTTTGATACTCATTATCATAATTGGTTCAAAATTGGGAAACAAAAGACAGAAAAAACAGTTTTTATTAATATAATAAAGATCAAGATGCTAGTAGTTGTCATATACCTCCTGGCACAGTTAATATTATTTCAACTATTTCTATAAATATTTTCTTTTACGCTGTAATTGGTGGTTATCAGGCAGGATATCATGGTAAATCCTCGTCCGGGTCGAAACACAATTCGGGTATGTAGTTTATACATTTTCTTCAGAGGTCAACCCTCGGTCTGGCCATTTTATTGGGTTTGTACCCACTAATTTTGTTTATGCTTGACATTATAATCCGTCTCTCTCACGAATACGGTTTCATCGGAAAATTCATATAGAGAATTTACATAACCTCAGAGGTGAAGTATAAGCTCTGAGTGTGTATATTTGTACAGGTTGTGAGCGGGCAACTAAAGGTCGTAAGCAAAGCTTCGTCTTAAGAAGTTCGTTCAGTTGCCAGCGTTAATACAACAACATAACCGAAGAAATAAAGAATAAATGAAACAGACCAAAACAAACCCCAAAGACATAAAAATCCAAATAAACAAAAAATACTAGGATACTAGGGTTTCCATTTCTTACAATCCGAATGGAAGGATTGGAATGCTTTGCAATTTGATTGCCTGTAATGTCAAGGCAAGTTTTGAGATTGCTTACATTGGAATATTCGAATTCTAACAAATTCTTGCTTCGATGTGTTGCACTAACATCTTATTGGGTTTCATTTTCTCGAGATAATGCTAATATAATTTTCTTTATGACTCTTGCCAGTGGAACTCATTCAACAGTATCGGTATCGCTAGAGGACCGTACGGCCGGTAAATAGGCCATGGATTGTTCAATGGCTTGTTGGTGTAATTTCATATCACGATATTGCTGGTATATAGGTGCCCTTTTCCAATTGTCACCATATCAACTTATCATTTCAAAATCGTGTTCTTGTTTCATTATAAAATGCATTTATTTCTAGAATTAGTCACCAAAAGTGTACATTCGTGCCCAGGTGATGCCATTTAGCAGTATGTCTTAAAATTTATATAGGATATTCTATATACATAAACAATGCTACTGGCTTCTGATGATGTTATATATACTATTTTACGCTATACGAGGTTAAGAAGGCTGATCAGAATAACTTGACCATCCCAGGAATTATTTGCATCAGGTAATTAACATCGATAATTGCAATCATCAGTTTGACTGTCAGCGTTGTGTTCCACGTCATTTCTTCCAGGCGGAGGGCTAACTCGAACACGTTCAAAGATTCCTTGTGAGACAACGAACATTGGTCTCTCGCCTTAACCATTACACATATGTAGCCATTTTCCTCGATTTAGAAAAGGCCTCTCCTATAACATGTAAGTAAACAATCTGGGTCTACAAGGCGGTCTTTCAGATCAAACTTTTAAACAGAGGTATACGAAAAGGACATTCATTTTCCCCATGGCAGAATTTTATCGGCAACGTTTTTGAACATCAAAATTAATAGCATTATCAAGTGTTTAGTTTCTGTTTGGATTGCTTTCCACTAAGATTATTTGCTAATATGTCTATTAAATTACACACCATTAATGAGGCAAATTCTTTACCTGATAGTTTGCTGTGATTGTTTAATGGACGCAATACCATCACTTGAAGGTTACATTCTTACTTTAATATATAATATCGCTGCAACAACTATCAAAGCAACGAAGAGTCATCGTCCATTAGCTCAAAGTTGAAAGATAAATTGTTGATAGTTTATAATAGCTTAATTTCTTGAGCGCTTCAAACACAGTTTGGAAATTGACGAAAAATTGTGCAAATAAATTAAAATAAAAGCACGATTATCAAAAGAAAGAACGGTATCACTGTCAATTTTTGTTTAATTTGTGGATAACAATGAAATGTTAAACTTTCATTGTTATCGGTGAAAGTCGAATTTACTGTGTTCTAGGTAATCCAGCTTTAGCATAACGATAAGATTAATCAATTTATTCTCAGAGGATACATGAAAACATCGCAGAGCCAAAAAAAAAATAAAATAAACATCATACATTAAAACTTCAACTTAAACAAAACGAAATTGTATTCATGAGATAGACGGATTATGATATTATAAATACACATCATTAGCGGGTACAGACCCAATCAAATGGCCATAAGTGGGGTTGACCTCTGAAGAAAATTTATAAACAATATACCCATATTATGCTTGGACCCTGATGAGGATTTACCAGGATATCCCGCCTGATAACAATCATTTACAGCGTAAAGGACAGGATTTACAGAAATAGTTAAAGTAATATTAACTGGCCCATGAGGTATATAAAGACCACCATCATCTTGATCTTTCTTATGTTTAAAAAAAGCTGTTTAACCTTCTTTTGATTCCTGTTTATGAACCAGTTATGAGAATATGTATCTAACATTTTATTTATGCGAATCTAACTTCAATATTAATTTCTGAATGTAACTGTTCCTTCGATTGCATTGAAAGCATAAGCGAGCAAAAAATATCTATTTGGATCCTGAAATTGTAGCATATCTCATCCAGATGCATCATAAGAATAATAGTGATTATTGCAAACAGACTCATCTTTGAGGACTGTAGCGTGCATTTCAAATATAGGATCAGATAGTCTCTTGTACATTTTATTATATAATTTGCTTTCTAAATTATTTCAAAATAGGCCAATTGATTACGTTATTGGTAATAATTCTAGCGTTCCTGTCGAATGTTTATTGGGATGTTGTTTCGACTAAACCTTAACTACTACTGATGCCCACAAAGACATAGATCTTCCCAAACCGTTCTAGATGTATCCAGTAAACGTTATAAGTTTCGTACTTTTGTGTGTGAATTTTCAGCAGCAGCATCATCTATAGATCAGAAGAAGATGGAGGAGTAGAGTATTTGGCACTTTGAATAGTCTCTTAAATTGTAGACAGACTTCTTTGTAATATTATAAGTATGATACGCTCTTAAAAACATATTTATAACAGGCATGGCAGGACTAACACGGTAGATGACCTGTATTAAGACTTAGGAACACTTTAAATTTTGCACAAGCCTAACGTATCTCCGTTCTAATCCACGGGGAAAAAGTATTCTTGAATGGTCGAAGCATCGGACTTCAGTGATGATGCCGTTCCATAGAGTAAAAGCCTGATATTTGTCAATCTTTTGAATATAGACATTGTTAAATCGAGCAAAGACATAAAGAGGCAAATACAGTTAAAGCTTCCAAAAAACAGCACTGCCACAAAATCAACTGGTAAAATCAATTTATTTGGCTCTTAATATGTTAATGACGTAAACTTTAATCAAAGAAAACATTGAATGTATGATAAGGTAAAACCGCTTGAAAATATGAATATTATGTTATGATTGTATTATTAATTAGCAAGTAAATTAATTAAACATCGACAAATGCTTAAATTGCAATGTGTTG